GGGGGGCGGGGCAGCCCGCCCACTCAGGCGCATCATACGCGACCCGCGCGCCGCGGGTGGATAATTAGCATAATTAGGGGCACGAACTAGCGACGCGGGACAGCTGACGATCGCAGCGACCAGGATCACAGCGCCGCTGCCGCCGCCGCCGCCGCCGCTGCTGCTTGTGTTCTCGCTTCCATGGGCTCCCGCAGTGAGTTCGTCTCATCAGTCATCGGATGTCACTGCGCCATTTGCTGAGGGAGGTTCGGTGTCCGGGCAGGCCTTCACTCATTCAATTTGCCTTATTTTTCAGGCCAACGTGGATCTCGTGTTATTTGGGTGGGTTAAAGGAGGAATACTATAGTTCTGTTTTGCGTTGCAGTAATTTTGTTTATTGATTCTGTGTTTTCATCGTACTTTATTTTCTCTCTGTTTAATTTTAATAAGAAAAAGTGTACTTTCATCCTTTTAACCACTTGCATCCGTCAACAACACTGATATACAGTATTTTAAAGGAATGATTTTTCCGTTTTGTTTATTCACAAAGTTTTAAATTTGTTGGGATATTCTATGTTTGCGAATGTTTTGTTTATTTCTTACTTGTATAGAGATCAGTCATCAATATTTCATATTGTATCCATTGGTGATGTTTTATTTCCCTTCAATGCTTCACTTAATGAAGGGCTAATCCTCAATATAAAGCAAAATTATTGGTGTCATTTTATTTATATTTTTATTTTCTCTCCTTAGTATGCCCGTAGTAAAGATAATGTTTTGTAATTTTGCGACAAAAGTCTGCTGTAGATGTGTTTCTGAATCAAAGCTGGTTGAATAATTTGATATTCAAGATGACATGCACAGAATCTAAGAGTATATTTACTGCTGAGTATCTGATATTCTCCCATGAGAGATCAAATTGCTTCCCAAACATTCGCCGAAAGAACGATTGATTTTTTTTAGATCACAATGAGACTTATTTATGAATATATTATCTAACAAGGGGGGTGGGGAGGGGAAAGTGGCAGGGGTGGTGGCAGGCGTGGTGGCGGGGATGATGGCGTGAATACTTGCGTGGACTGCGGTGGCGGCGGCGGCGCTGGTGGCTTGGCCGGTTTCGGGGGTGAGGGCGCGGGCGTTGCGAGGTGGGTCGCCGGCGGGATCGGCGGGTGCGGGGGGGGGGGGGCCTGCGGTGCGCGGCGGGGGTGACAGTTGAAGGGGAACGGCGTCAGGGACCGTTGTGGTCACACGGGGCGCTCATATATCAAGGCAAATCCCGCTGTTAATATATTAACTTCGGCCAACGCCTTGCTTTGCATCATTGGGTCGCCGCGTCGCTCTTTCCTCAGCAGCCCAGCAGCACTTTCCCTTCGGACCCATTTCCCCTCACAGTTACGACCAAATAAAAAACCAGGCTTCAACAGACCCTCCAAAAGTAACGAAATACAAAAATAATTCATTCTCGTGGGTATGGATCGCATTTCGAAACTTTACCTTACTTTTAGTGTTACTTGTTATTGCTCAAAAAATATTTTAACAACAGTGCACCACACCACTTAAAGATCTAAAACTGACAGACAAATTGTATTTTAAACTCCTTCCCAACGGAAGTGAACAATAGGTTTCGAAACTAATTTGATTTTTACAGTTCTCAAAAATTTCTTCAACATTAATAACATTCGATGCTATTTAGTTTCATTCAATTCTAGCAAAATTTTAATGAACAATTTTCCAGTATTTTTCTGTATATTGCGAAAACATCAATCTTAATGATCAATAAATCGTATTGAGCTTTGAAATAGCACTAATAGAAGTTCTGCAGAACTTTGTTTTCGGCCCAGAAGCTGCAAGCTCTGAGGATGATCGCTACGCGATCGAAATGATCATTAGTGGAATTAAAATATTGATACCTGACAATATCTCTATTTATTTATCAAAATTGCAGAATCTGTTTCGTTATTCCTGTTCTCCATTCTATCAATCTGCATGCCTTTCTATGGTCATCAATTTTTCCATTTAGATTGTAAATTCGTAAGTAGTTACGTATCTCTTCATTACCAATCCTGTCTTTCCTTGTGAAACTAATACAATCCCTTACAAACTTCATTTCTACAGACTGAATCCTACTTCGAAGTTTTATATCCATGGTACAAATATCACATCACTAAAACCTTGGGCGGGACCAGAACATAGTGAAGTAGCTTCCAACAAAAAGCGGCGAAATTCTTTGTATAATAATAATAACAAGAAGACTCTAAATATTTAACCTAAATGAGGAACTTTTTCGGCGGACTTCCTAAAGCGTGCTGCCTCTCCGCCTTAGCCCAGCCACAAGCAAAACCTCTGGGGCGATTCCTGTCCCTCTTGGCTTTCGGCGATAAACCCGCCGACGCTCTGCCGCCTTCCTTGATTAATTTAATAAGGAAGCGACGCGGCACGACGCGCGTCAGGTGTTTAGAGCCGGCGCACCTTCATTTCTCAGCGAACGAACTGAAATTTAATTTCTTGATCTCGTTGAGCTCTAATTCTTGTTCATTTGCGTTTGCAGGTGAGGCGCAACTAACTGCATCAGGCGAAGGGAAGACCTTTCCTTTTTGTTTTCCTTGTTATTGTTTGTTCTGTGTACTGCGGACTAGAATGTGTTCTGTGACACCTGTTCTCTGGAGGAATCCAAGTGAATGACGTTTTTTTCGTGTAATTCAAAATATATCTGTTCTAAGGACTTTATCTTCGTCAAAAGAAGATTGTTGGCTTACAAAATGTGACTTACGAAATATGTGCGCAGCGCCAAGTGATAAACTTTAGGCGGAATATTTATACGAGTAATATGCGTTTTGTTTTCGACGTGATTTTATCTGGCTTTGAACACTCTCGTCCTGGCGGACGTATCGTGTGGCGCCAAAGGCAAATCAGAAATTTCACAGGTGGTATTACCCACTCACAATTCAGAGCCCAATTGAATTATTATCATGTGTCCTATTTAAAAGCTGGTAGCCTATGCAATATACTAAATAAATGTGTTTGGTCTGGTGATTTACCACGGTATACACCAGTGGATGTACTCGGGTATTTCCCTAAAATTAGTAAATTAAAATACGGTTTTTTTTGTTAGTGTAGAAATTTATTACTACAAATTCAAAGAAAAAATAAAAGTGCAATGTTAGTAATAAAATATTAGTTTACGTAACAAAGGCGCGCAAAATATGATTCCAACACTCGTCTTTTTGTCGTCAAAGCGTAGTGAGATCGACAAACTTGACTCGTGTGTGAATCACCTCGCGCCCGTGTTGCGTATACTATTATAACACGCTGTGAGCAAACCGCAATGCGTCAAGTCCAGAACTATATGTTGAATATTAAATAACTAGAAATACCTTACTAGTACAAAAGTAAATGGATTCCAGTCAGTCGTAACACTATTGTTTGTAAATGTTAAACAAAAACGTCGTCAAAACAAAAGACAATTGTGAATTATTCCAGATGTTTCACACAGGCTTCGCGATGTTCACACGCTATGAAAGAAATAGCTGTTTCGTTCACGGAAAAAAGCCACATTTCGTGCACTGCGTTTTAAAAAGTAAATACTGACACCATAAAGTCCATTTCGCAGTTAAATTTGACATCGGGCCTCTGACGCGCCATTCTTGTGCCTAATCAAAACACGTACATTTTTGTGTTCGTACATTTTTGATTGTTATCTTACTTTAAATCTCTCTTACAAAATCGCGAGCATTATTTTATATAAAGAACTTGACCAACGAAAAGCTGTCGGTAATCCGATCATGCAAAATACACACGTTTAATCTCTTGGCCAACAGGTCGTTGCGCGGAGCTTCGGCTCCGGCTGTATCAGGAAGTCAAACATAACAAATCACAATAAAAGTATTTCTTCAGGTAAACGAATTAATAGTATGAATGGGTGAAAACCGGGACGGTATAAGTTATAACATTTTATAAATTTTGAGAAAACGTGCATAATTTAAGCTACATTTCAGCGGCAATGAATTTACATTGCTTTAATGAATTATGGAAATACCGTGGTTTTAATAATACAGCGACTTTACAGTGATATTGACGTAAATAAACAGATTTCTCAGAATTTATGTCAATTATACTGTTCTGCTTTTCACCCATATATGTGTATATATATATATATAATATATTATATATATATATATAATATTTAAATAAATGAATCGCAAAAATTGTTGGAAGCGCATAAAACTCAACAACGCCCTGCGACCAATTTGGGCAATTCTTTTTTTAAAATGTTTGTTGAAGTTCAAGGATGGTTTTTTAACGCCGAGAAAAAAATTCGATAATTGCCGAAAAAAAAAACTTAAAAACAAGCCTTTTTCTTATTACAAATGTTTTCTAACTAAAAACGTTAGAGTCAATTCTGAGTTTTTATAGCTGTTGTATAAAGAAACTCATTGTTGTTAGTAGCACAAAGCACTCATTGTTGTAGGTATGTTCCTAACGTCAAAGAGGTCAAATTTGCTTGGGTTTCCACCTCTCCGGTTTTTAGTTCGGGACTCCGGTTTTTGTTGCACTCATCTCCGTCTCGTTTTTGAAAAATTATTCTCCGTTTTTTTTTTTCAATTTCAATACATTTTCAAATTTTATTTACAAAAATAAATAGATTTTTTCAACTTAAAATTAAAAGCTTTTTCTATTCATCAGAAATCTGTCCTTTCCTTCTGTCATTAGAAGAGATAAAGAACAGAAACATGAAAATTGGACTTGCGAATCCTCAGGAGTTATCGCCAGTCCGCTGTCTCTTTCTTTTCTACCATATCAGACAGACGACAGATCTAGCGATTTATGCGAAAATCGCATTGCGCGCAAAAGTTTCAAGAATAATCATCCGGAATGCTATTCGATATCTTCATATTGAACAAGATCGGAATTTTCGTATCAAACATTTCGTAATCAAAGGTCTGAATATTTAGATATACAAGAAAACAATTTTGAAATAAATGTTAAAAACGAATAATTATACAGCGTAAGTTTTTACATACAAATTGTTTTACATATCTCTATAACCTAAAAATAATTAATCATAATTTTTTGTTTTAAAATAACAGACGTAAGACTATATTTATTGAGCCGAAACAACATTAAGATATTTCCGAAAAGTTTGTGTAATTCGTATATAAAAACGAATTAATAGAAAAGTATCGTTTTAAAACACTACATAATAGATAATTTAGTATAAAATGTTTAGCAAATATTCTGTCTCATTTATTTTTTTATTTATATTTGAATTACATAAATAGATGAAGTAAGTTAATTATAAATTAACACTCTCACTCACATACACACTTATTTAGCAATTAAATATTTAATTACCCCCCCCCGGCGCAGCGGGTTCACCGTTTTTTATGGAATTTGCAAGGGTGGGCAACCCTACATTTGCACTTTATTACCGTATATAAAGTTCAGATTCCAATTCATATCTATTCAAAACAGTGTGCGTGTGTGCGTTGGAGGCCACCAGAATACATCGTTGGAGGATTTAATTCGCGTTTCCGAAACTATTAGCAAAATAATGTTATAAATATAGATATGTCTCCTATTAAGACGAAGCAATTTAGGTAGAAGAACCCGAAATGCCCTACAAACCAAGCTAATAACCGATTCTAATCATGCCTGCACCAAGAACGTGACGACCGAAAGGAACGTGAAAGAATTCGGATATCACGATCGCGTGAAGCGCCGAGCGCAACATGTCAACTAATAATCGCGCAAGTTGAATCGAGCTGCTTCAGTGGACGAATGTGTCAATTACTACAGTAACTACCAATGTGTTGTATTGGTTCTATGAACTCGGTTTGCTCATATTTTAAGGCATTGAAATTTTAAGAAACGAAGCTAATGCGATTGTTTGCGCAAATGGTAAAGTGAAATTGATACCATTGGCAACCACCACCCAGAAGCCATTGTACCCATGGTTTTCAGGAATAGGAACAGATTCCATAACACTTTTGAAAAATATCCAATAATATAATAATTGCTTTCAAATGACTTCATTTGGGTCAACAAATATAGTTCGGAATATTTCATATGCCAACTTTCAAGGTATGTATTTATTAGCAGTAAAACATAATTGTATTTATGCTTCTGTCACCTAAGTTGTGTTACTAATCGTTCAATTTCTTAATCATTAGATCATAATCATCACTTAGATTCCCATATGAATTGTTGGTGATACAGTTTTTAGCCGACACTTTTATTATTTTGAAAACCCCAACATTATTATTTGATGATTAGATATAGTTAACAACTAATTAGGAGACATATATAATTTTAAAGAACTTAATATTAATTTTGATCACTGACAATCGCATAAATTTTATTACCCCACATTCTATTTAATTTAATTTATTTTAAGTTTTATAGTGTTTGTACAAACATTTAATATTTTTTTTAAATTTACAGATACAAGGCCAAATTAATCAACAGAGCAGGTTCACTGTTAACCAGTGTCAGATAGCAACTACATATTCCTGGCAAATTTATTTTATGGGCAATTCATCCACAAGAAACTAATCTTGCGTTGTGCACATAACAATTAGTAAAGAGGGTCTTTGCATAGAACAATTACAAATTTAATTTTCATGAAACACAATCAATTGATTAATATATGTTTAAAACTGCCTGGATCTGATGTCATCAGATATCACAAAATTGTTAATCAGAGCTGATAACAACACCTGCGGGTCAAACATGCAAGGGACGTTTTAATGCACCAACTATGATGAAGTTCTATCGTTGTAGTGTGGGAGGAAAACTTGGAATCCCGTGATATTGCTTTACATCGTCGGAAGATCAATTTACAACGTATTAAGGAAACACACCGCCACATATTGATGCTGACGTCATGATACTCACAGCGACCACAAGACCACAGAGCTTTCGTATAAACAAATTATATTTTATAACAAGAAAACAATACAAATATATACCACTTAATAATCTACGTAAACCCTAGACTCCTGATAACCTACTATTCCCTGATCGCGGGAGCGATCCAAAAACCCCGATTGAAGAATGGTTTTGCATTGTGGAGTCGCCACTACCTACTTTTGAAGCGCGCCACAAAGCCTAGCTTCCGTGACCGGATGTCACCACTGCCGGACACAACGTCCGTTTCTGGCGCACCAACGGCTGAGTTTGCCTCGATCGCAGGAGCGATCTTATCCGATAGAATCGGCAGTGAATCGTGGCACTCAACCACTCTTCACCTCGGCAGCACGCCACACCAGCACTCGCCCCCGCTGACCGCAGTCACCCAAAGGACATAACAGTCCGCAGGCTTTCGTCAACTTAATGACTTTCCAGCCTCGCGAGCCTAGGCTCGCATACTGCACCGTCTAGGCGCCAAGTTTGTGGCACACGCACGAGGTTCTCCCACCGTCTCCAGAACCTGCCTACTGGCTCCGTTACACCCCGGGGGCTTTGGTTTTTTTATAGGCGAGGCCCACGTGACCTTCCTACGTCACGCCACCCCCTCGCTTGTTATAACAGATGAAAAACTGCTATAAGCCGAAGACACCCAAAGCCTTGTGTCTCCCGTCTCCGCGATTCTTCCCTTTACGGAAAAACCTACTCCTGTGGCGAGACAAATCCGCAACCAAGCGTCCCCAAATAGAATGCCATGAGGCAACGCGGCTAATACGTTACAAGCACATGCAATATCCCATTAATATTTTGGCAAGGTGAAGATGGCTATGATTTCTCAATAAAAATTATAAATCCCATTAACAGGTAATAAAATATTAGTTTAATATCTTCAGTAACTATATTATGTATTTTAATTTTATATTTCAATGTTATTAAAACAAAATCTATTTAACAGCGTTCTGAAACTAACAAAAAAGTCTGTTCAATGAACTATTATTC